CATGCTATAATGACTTGAAGAGAGTATGGGGTTAAAACCTGGCTCCCACTACCTTGGGCAAATTTCTTACCCTTTCTGTGCCTCAGTGCCCTTATCTGTAATATAGGGATAGCAACTCTATCTACCTCTTTGCATAGTGTCCGAATTAATTTCATACTTACAAGAACACTTAGTACAATGACTGGCACATAGTGCACATTTGGTTATTAGTAGCTATTTGTAATTTTACATTTTGTGGAAAGCTGATTCTGTTCTTTATCCACAAGCTGGAATGGTGCTTGTTGAGAGGTGCTGACCATGATTTATAAGCTGCACTCTCCAGAATCCATGCATCGAGCCATTCCCTCAGCAATGAAATGCCTGGCACGCCATCACATGGTGAATGTGTTACACACCAGAAACAAAGGTCTCTGAAAACACAGTGAGAACCAGAGCAGCCTCTAACTCAGCATCTGGAAAAAAAATTCCTCACTAGGAATCTTACTTCTTCGCAGGTTTATTTTTATAGCCACTTCTGTATTTTAGATCTGTGCCGTGAAGAGGTATAAATTTCTGTCTCAGAGGCTGAAATGTTTGAATATTTTTCTGCAGGGCCCAGCTACTTAAGAAAGGTTGTTTTACAAAGTCTCTAAAAAGTAGGAAATAGGCAAGAATTTGTTGTGCCCGTCAGTTCCATCACTAATATCCACTTGTTCAGCAATTACACCTTGGGAATGACCAGGAATGAAAGGAGAGGTAATGGGAGCGGCGTGTTTAGAGTGGACCACAGCTGGCTGAGGAGAGGCCAGGCCTGCTGAGTATCTGAGTAGGTCTCTGGTTCCAGGTGGTGGCAGCCTTCTGCAGTCATTATTTCAGGCCAAGGAATAATCAATTTCCTAAGCAGAGGAATTTATTTCCATGTTGACCTTATTTTGGAGGCAGAAACTGTCCTTATAAACTTTTGAAAAGGCGCTGAATCCTTGTCCAAAGCTTGTAAAATCTTGCTCTTTTAGCATCTGGCTGGCAGGACGGAACAAGTAACATTTGTTCAGGATGCCGAAGACTGAGCCAGCACCAGAAGAGACTCCATATTTTGGGTTTAACTCGGGTGGTCTCTACAGCAAGCATGTCGTTATTTAAACAAGGCATGTGGCCTGCCGGCCGCGAGTTTGACATGCTTGCTCTGGGTCACTTAATTTCATGGAGTTCTCTGAAGCTGAGATCAGAAAAATCTTAACGCCCTCACCAATTCTTAATGATAAAGTTCCTGGAATTTTTTAAAATAAAAGAATGTAACATTTTGAAATAATCACAATAATTATGTGGTGAGACTACTTCCGCTTTATTTTTAACTAGCTCTACAAATAAGGTATGAAGAAAATGGATCAGATACTGCCATGACCAGGTTCCAGGGCAGGCAAGACCTGGCTGATGGAAGAAGGAACCTCAAGAACCGTCTTGGCACAATTACAATCTGGGGGATGGTAACCTATTTGCAGAATTTGTAGGAGCAAAACAGCACAGATAAAATATTTAATTTTGAAACACTTTCCTCCTCTGGTGTCATAGTCCCCAAATTAAATACTATCTAAATATGGTACTCTATTGAACAGGGTGCCTAAATAACGTTCTGTATTTAGTTGTCTTTCTAGAAAGCCTTTCAAATAATATAAAGTATGTAACTGGGTTTGGAGGAATCTATAGCACCTATGTTTTAGCTCTATTTTCCACTTTACCAGGTTTGAGAAGTATTTGTGGAGGGAAGGCAAAGTAACATTCATATCTAACTGATTCCCCAAGAGAGGATGATGACATCTAGTGGTGGCTAAAAAAACCAAAACAAAACAAACCAGAAGAGGATCCAGTTTTTGCCTGAACGTTCTGTTTTCTTTAAAACATGTGGAGCAAAATGAAGAAAATGTTTGTTCTGTAGCTATGCACTGAATGACTGAAGCCCATCAA